AGGGGAAAAAAGAAAACAATTGACAAACAGCCGGCTAAACAGCTGTCTAAATAGCCCGATGTTTGATCGACTGTTTATCCAGCTAGTTAATACTAAGCTAAACAGCCAGTCAAAAAAGTCGGTTGTTTATATGACTGTTTAACAGTCGACTGTTTGACCGACAGTTAAACAACCAGTAAAACAGTCAACTGTTTATTGTTGGCTGTTTGACCGGCTAAACACAGTCGGCTGTTTAACAGTCGGTCAAACAGCCGAATCATCGGCACGCACCGGGCTGTTAACACTCAACACTCGTTCGCCAAATTATGCAAATGAATTTTTTCTGGTCAAATGCTTAAAAAATTACAGATCTATTAAATTTTTTTTTTTTATCTAAATTACCATTAAATGTTGAAATAGAATTTATTAATTTAAACGTACAATAATTTAATGAAAACAAGATTAAATTTGTGTATATAAACTTATTGAACCGACAAGATTGATGTCCACAAGATTGATATTAATGAAAATATCAAAATTTCTACCTAAATTATATATGAAAAAAAATTTCAAAATATTTTGGGACAGTCATATGCAGCTCTTCTGTGCCACCACCGCCTCCACCGTTGAGTAACAGCGGCGATCATTCCTACTTAATTTTTTTGTTTTTGTATAAAAAATAAAATACATATGATCTACATTACATTTGCCTTCGAAAATTTTTTTCACCCCTTAAGTGAAAATTCTGGATAAAATTTATGCAAGTTTTCGACATGACTACAATCATCATCCTTTATTTAGTTTGGATTAGCTATGAAAAATACAAAGTTTGCTAATATGATCTTTTTAAACTATAGATAATTAAATTCACCAATTTTTAAAAGTTCATACTTTTAAGTCAAATAGTTTAAAACAGTATTCTAAAATGTACAAATATGTTTGGGACATTTTCGAAACGCGGACAAACGCATTATAATGCGGTCAACCCATTTTATTGATTGCATATGTGTGCTTAAATGCAAAAAATATGCACGAATTATATATAGCAGTTTGCAGTTTTGATGTTTAGAAAAATTAAAATCAAAACAATTTTTTTCGTAAAATTGTAAATTATATAAATTGAACCTGAACCTCGTTCGATCTTTTAACTATTGAGATCTTCATCAGTTGCAGAAACTTGAGGGTGCATTTTTTTATTTTTGTATTGCTCACCTAATCAGAACTTCAAAGGTCCATTTTCTCCTCTAGTTTTTAATTTTAAGGAAAAATATTTGGCAAACTTGTCCATCTCTAGGTTATAATGATGATTTTGACTATTCTAGTATTTTTTTTTCTATAAATTTTATTCTTGCTTTAATTTACTAGGAGTCAATGGAGCAAAATGATTTTTCATGGCATTTAATTCTATTTCTAAAGATAATGAGTTGATATAAGGGAGCTTAATGAAGATAATTTTGCATCAAGTGACATGAAAGATGACTTTGATGGAAAATTAGAGATTGAATTGAAATAAGATAAACAGTTAGAAAAATTTTAGTATTTTTTAGGCCGGTGTTTGTATTTAATTTAATTATAGGAATTGATTACCCAATAATTGTATTATTTATGATTTTGAGCAATATGTTTTTGTTGAAAATTTAAAGAATATGTATAAAATTCAAAGAATGGATTACTTTTTATTTATTAGTTTAAAATATTTAAAATAGTATTAAAAATGGAAAAACACATAGTACATATACGCTTTGCATAGGCATGTAAATGCTTGTAATGGTTGATGCTTGACCAAAACATATTGTCACATATCACGTATTTTAGATCCTTGGTTTAAAGAGAAAATTATATTATGGCCCCGTTTGGTAGGGATTTTTTGCTCCAAAAAATTAATTTTTTGACCGTTATTTTACTATTCAAGCCGTAATTTTTGACTTTTTCTCTCACATGTGGACCCCACTTTTCTTCTAACGGTCAAAAAATTAATTTTTTGACCGTTATTTTACTATTCAAGCCGTAATTTTTGACTTTTTCTCTCACATGTGGACCCCACTTTTCTTCTAACGGTCAAAAAATCAATTCTCAAAATCCGTACCGTTATTTTTTGACTTTTTGACTCTATCGTTATTTTAGAGTAAACTCAAGCAACTTAGCAAAAGTCAACTTATACGAATCCTACTTTTGGATAATTAGTAGCTGGTGGGATTAAAGAACAATCAATTTGGATAATTGTATTTCAACTTGAAGCGATTTGCCAATTCATTAAACGAATAAACCAGCACACAGGATGACTTGTTCTTCGTTGACTTGGTTAATCTATTTCGACGAAGTTCAGTTCATCTTATTAGTTTCTCAAAATTTTAAGTCTTAAATAAGTTTTTATTTTAATCTTCTTTTACATTTATCTTATTTATAAGAAAATAAAATGCTGAAGGAATTTTTCATTGGCAATTCCCTGAATTTCTTTGATTTTTATTTTTCCAAATAGTTATTGACTGAATTTTAGAGAGAAAAAAAATATTTTTCCATGGAATTCACAATAAATTTATATTTTTGAAAAAAAAAAAAAAAAGATCTGACAGAAATTTTAATGGATTATTGGGACAAAAATGTCTCGTAGGTAATGCAAACTTTCAATAATAAAAATAAAAATGTAAGCCCAAGAATTCGTTGCACTATTTCCAATTAATATTTTTTGCAAGTCAATTTTGATTAAGTCCACGTTATCTTATCATCATTTTATTATGGTAAACTTATAAAAATCTTCTAATTATTATTCAATTACTTTTTTTTTCCCGTCTTTTCATACACATAAATGGATAGATGATGATTTGACTCAATAATTTCGTAAAAACTATTTCAAAATTATTGATGTCAAAATCATACAGGAGAGAAAAATAAAAATTAAAAAGGAAAATGGTGAAATTTATTATTTTTGGCCCCGTGATTTTTTCATTTGTCACATTTTGGAATTCTTTACCTGATATAGAGTATCAAGTCATTAATTGGCTGAAAACATACTTGGATGAGTCTCCTAATAGAAGGTGAGAGTGTATTTATATTACCAAATGAATTAAAAAAATGTGATGCATCCAAACAAATTCGATTGAGCTCTTTCGAGTTTATTACAAGCTTGCAAACATTCTTGTCTATTCCTAATAGAAGGTGAGAGTGCATTTACATTACAAAATGAATTAAAAAAAATGCGATGCATCCTAACAAATTCGATTGAGCTCTTTCGAGTTTATTACAAGCTTGCAAACGTTCTTGTCTATTAGTTCTTGATTCAATTGTCGAGGTTAGTACACTCAATGTCATATACGATTCTTATTTCGTTCATTATATTGATTTTAGATGGTTATCTTGTACTTGAGAGAACTATTTCAATGTCAAATGTATTAATTTCGTCACTATAGTTGGTTGATGGTTCAAATGTACGTTAGTAAACATTTGTTTATCCGATTCTTGGCTCATCTATCAAGGTCATTGTATTGATCTTGAATGAGATTCTCGAGAGATTTGTTCATTTTTCATTTTTTTTCCATTTACTGAAATGTATCAATTAATTTATTCTAAAAAAATTATCAATCACCTATGTTTCTTATGTGATCTATTGAGAAGGTTTAGACAACACTAGAAATAGCGTCAATTGAGATTTTTCTTGATGGAATTTTTCTATTAAAAATACTAATTAATATATGCAATTTTCAAGTATAACTACCAAATTAGTAGTCTCTTGTTAGTTCGCGCTGAATGCCAATTTGAATCCTCTATCTCCATTGAAGCTGGGTCATGGCTTTGACTTTCCAGGAAAATTCGACCATGGATATTCTAACTCAATTTTGGGTACTTACGTGCACCAAATCTGAAAGTTTGGAGACTTGTATACAAAGTCGATGTAAACTTTAAATAAGTGAGGTGGTCACCTAATCTCTATATAAGGGCTCAAATTTTATGAAATTTATTCCAAAATAATTAAAAAAAGAAAAAAAGTAAAAAGGTGATTGTATAGAAGAATATCAATAGAACAGATATAATCACCTATATAATCATTGATGGTACCGGACGAAGATGAATATATGATTTGAACAAAATTATCAACAACAATATATACTATCATCTATCGTCGATAATATCGTTTGTGACATCGTCACAAATCACCAACAATGCTTCAATCGCTTAATTGCGAAGAATATGTGTTCACTCTTTCTTCATGTTTTGTTTATTTTTTAATTAAAATAATTTAAAATATATCTTAAGTTACTGGAAAACTATTAAAAAAAAAATTAAAAAAGTGAATAAAGAATAAATGTTTCATCAGTGGCGATAGAAACATTGTAGATAATTGTCCAACTTATTGAAAATATTAGGGTGCGGTTGGTTTCCATTTTCATTTTCAAAACGATTTTTAGTTTTCCCCGAAAACAACCGTTTTCTGCGTTTTGAGCGTTTTCGACATTTATAATTGAAAACACTGAAAACGGTAAAAAGTCATTTTGCGTTTTCAGTTATAAAATTTAACTCGTTTTCGAAAAAGCACGTTTTTCGCGTTTTCGAAAACGGAAAACGAAAAATGGGCTGAAAACAGCAAATCAACCACGGCCTTAATTTTCGTCAAGTATCATTCATTGTTATGCAATCATTTTTTTATATGGATTCTCTATTACTCTTATTATCAAAAAGACCCTTAAACCTTTAGGTACCCGGCCTCGGCCTCGAGCTCGAAGACTTGATACTCAATCACTAATCCTGTATTTTACAAAGTTCGAAAAGGAGAATTCCTGTATAAGATTAGGTTGACTTGGATATCAATTGGTGCAATTTTTCTTTCTATCTTTCTATTTATTTATTTTTTTGCAGAGGAGTATTAGCCATAAATTGCGTGTTGACATTGTGTCCACGAACAATTAATTTACAGTACGTAATAAATACTTGACTTTCTACGATGTATAGTCGAGATACTCTCAATCTTAAATTGTGTACAAGACATGGTCAATTCATCATGGGGAATAGTTTTTCGAACATATGTAGATTTGATGATGAGATTCAAGATTCAACAATATGATTAAAGAAAAAATGACAAAAGCTTAAGAAAAATAAAATTAGGCTTATAATGGATGGATAAACTACACAAATCCGAATTGAAAGAGAAAATGGAAAGACTTGTCACAAGAAAATTATGTAGTTACACAAGCAATGCCTCCATTGAGTAAGAGCTGAAGTACTGCCAATTTGAGTTCAGTTTCACGAATCAATTCTTCGTCCGTTTTCGGGACATTTGGATTCTCTTTTATTCCAGAAGTTATGCATTCCAAATGAGTACCGAAATCGCACTCTCGACAATAGTAGAGCCAGGCCAAATCATGGACAGGGCTCTTACACACATCACACATGAACGTCACCTGATTTCCCTCTCCCGCCACTGGGGAGTAATACAATGCGAGGGGGTGTTTGTGATCTCCGCGGGTCATGGTTTCCGGCCAAGAAATGCAGTCGATATGGAGATCATACGAGCAAGTCGAGCAAGTGTAACAAAAAGCCTTACCATCTTTAAGGCAAGCATTGCAAGTAAATCCATCGTCGTAAGGCGGTGCAGTGAGTAGCTTCAGAGGGTGGTCGAGGTGGGATTTATGTCGAACCTCTAAGGGAGATTCGAAGCACACCTTGTGGAGATTGAAATTGCAATAGGGCTCGATGCAACAATAAGCCGAGCCGAATAGGTCACACTCACAAGCAGAACAAACTTTAGTATTTTTGTCCTTAATTTCAATAGGCTGCAAAATATGTGGATGGCTGAAGTGCTTTATTACTTGAGGTTTCGTTTGAGGTTTGATCGTCGGAGGTTGTTGAAAGTTCTCGGTCTGAGGAGCCGGTGGTGTCGGATTTACGTTGGCGACACTCACCGGAGGACTAAAATTTGGCACTGTTGGATTAGTTGGGGCAAAAACTGGCACAGGATTGTTTTGAACGGGGGTTTGAACATTTGGGACTGATGGATTAGGAGGAAAGTTTGGATAAGGGTTGTTTTGAAAGGAGGGATAGGTGCTACTTTGAGGCAAATTTGGTGCAGAATGAGGATTTTCGACTGCGAAATTCGGGAAATTAGCAGGTGGGTTTGTTGGATTATAAGCACAATGGACATGTAGATCAAAGTCACATTCAGAACAACAATAAGTGAAGCCATTTCCTACGAGATTGCAAGAATTGCAGAAAAATGAATTAGAGGGATATGTTGGATAAGGTACTAAAGTTAAGGGATGTAGAGGATGAGAAGGGTGACTCATCGATCGAGTCGCTTGAAAACATTGATCATGGAGGAAGTAACGGCACTGCCAACACGCATAAACCAAGCCCGACGCGGTGGTTTTGCAACCGGAACAATGGATTTCAGTTCCTTGTGGCAACTGGTGGAAAACTAGGCCATGGTAGTGGCTAAAATGCTTATATTCCATCCCTCTCTTTCTCTATAGGAATGGAATGTCATAGATGAATTTGGTTGATGGGGATTAAATGGGATATGCAATAATTAATTTATTGCAAATAGGCATGCAAGTTGATGGATAAATAATGTGAATGTGTGGGATGAAACTTCTGAGATGCTTCATTCGATGTGGTTTGAATTTGTCAATTGCTTATATTCCATCCCTCTCTTTCTCTATAGGAATGGAATGTCATAGATGAATTTGGTTGATGGGGATTAAATGGGATATGCAATAATTAATTTATTGCAAATAGGCATGCAAGTTGATGGATAAATAATGTGAATGTGTGGGATGAAACTTCTGAGATGCTTCATTCGATGTGGTTTGAATTTGTCAATTGTATGATTAACGTTGACTTGCAATTTCGGAGTTGACTAATTTATTTATCCACAATATCGTCTGATTTGATTTTTTGTTTGTGGTGCATGTTAAGTGGCGGTGTTTTGACTTTGCTTCTACTTTCCACGTCAATGAAAGAATTTGATTTTTTACTTTTTATTTTTGGAAAAAATGTCTATGAATCTATAACTTATTAGTGTCATGAGAACATTTTTCTAACTTATTTTTCAAATAGTATAATCTCCAAAGTCCAAACTTTTAATTTTTATAGCATTGTTGGATTACATTGATGTTAAAAGGTCGAACTTATGAAAACCATTATGCTCGTACGAAAACCATTATGCTCCTTTCTTTTCTAAATTAAATAAGTGTTTAATAAAATAGGAAAAAGAGAGAAAAAGGAAAATTAATTGTTTCAATGGTAACTAAATTTAGATTCATGTCTTTGATTAATCACTGAGTTTAAAATGTTGAGTTCTGATCACTGAATTTAGGTTCATATCTTTGATTGCTCACTGAAATTTAAAATGTCGAGTTTTGGTTACTGAACTTTGAAAAATGCCTTACGTTACTTACAAGCATAAATATTGAATTTTAAGAAATATCGAGTTTATAGTAAGTAATATGCAACATTTTTACAGTTCAGTGAGCAAAACTCGACATTTTAAATTTTAGTGAGTAATCGAAGACATGAATCTAAGTTCAGTGATTAAAACTTAACATTTTAAATTTCAGTGATCAATCATAGACATGGAGCTAAGTTTAGTGACCATTGGCACAATTAACTCAAAAAATGAAAGAAAAAAGGGAAAATAGAAACAAAGAAGTGATGTAGGGGCTAGGGGCAAAAACCAGTTGGAGAAAGGTTGAAGGAGGCATCGTGGTGAACCAAGCATAAGGTTGGGTTGCAAAGGGTAGGGGTTAGTGGTGGCGAAATAGGTTTGTAATTTATAAGGACAAATTGAAGAGACTGCTCTGGACTTCAGTTAAAGTTGATTCCTTGCATTTGAACAACAACATAATAATAGTAATAATAATAATTCCCCTAGCTCACCCCTGGTGATTGGCTCGGGCCATGGACAAGTAGGAGTGGAAAGGAGACGAGTTTAATGCTTGTTTGGCACAAAAAATTTTAAAATTATTTTTCTCCAAAAATTAGTTTGAACTACAAATTCCATGGAATCCACGACATTTTTTTCCCACTTTTCAGTCACATTAAAGGAAAAAAAAGATTTCACTTTAAAGAATCAATGCCATTTAACAAGCTATTAGAGTTTTTAATTTTCTCTTTAGCATCCGTTTTACAATTTATAATTTTTGAAATAGTGTGTGTATATATATATATATATATGGAAGATTGTGTGATAGAAAATAAGAGAGAAAATTATAATTTGAAATAATGGAGGACAAATGAGAGCTTAGTTTTATTGTAAAATTATTTGTGGTTACATATTGTACCCATCTAAATAGTACTCACTTGGATTGCATGTGCATGTCTAACTAGAGAAATTTTGATCGGACAATCCTATTGCTCATGATAAGTGTATTTTATACACCTACTTTGAGCATAAAATAGGGTAATTACTGGTTCTTTTGACAAAATATATCTTAAATTGTTGTGTTTTATGTTAAACAGGTAAAGTTCAATGATTGAACAAAGAATTGGAAGAAACAAAAAGAAAACCCAGAAAAAGTGTGAAATCCAAAAGACAGGGACCAAGTTGCAAATGATCCATAGATGAGACGAACAATGAAATGGAGATTGAAGATGCCAAGGCTTTAATGGTATACAATTGAAGATAAAGGAATAAAATTACAAGAAAAAGTGGGTTAAATAAAGCAAAATTAAAGTTTGAGGATTAAAGTGCAGATATTAAAAAGTTTGGTTGAACCTTACGATGAAGATTCGAGAGTGTTAGGAGTCAATCGGATGTGGAAAGAAGTTAAAGGGATGAAATATAGTCGAAGTATTATCACATGTCTAACTAGAGAAATTTTGCTCGGACAATCCTATATTCTCATGATAAGTGTATTTTATACACCTACTTTGAGCATAAAATAGGGATAACTTATAGTTCTTTTGACAAAATATATCTTAAATTGTTATATTTTATGTTAAACAGGTAAAGTTCAATGATTGAACAAAGAATTGGAAGAAACAAAAGGAAAACCCAGAAAAGGTCCAAAAGACAATGACCAAGTTACAAATGATCCATAGATGAGACAGACGATGAAATGAAGATTGAAGATGCAAAGGCTTTAATGGTATACAATTGAAGATAAAGGAATAAAATTACAAGAAAAAATGGCTTAAATAAAGCAAAATTAAAGTTTGAGGATTAAAGTGTAGATATTAAAAAGTTTGGTCGAACCTTATGATGAGGATTCGAAAGTGTTAGGGGTCAATCGGATGCGGAAAGAAGTTAAAGGGATGAAATATAGTCGAAATATTATCACATGTCAACTTTCAGGCTAAAAATTATGCGTCAGATTTTCAGTCTCTATTTGAGACCCATTTTTGGCATAGTAAATGTTTGAATTGGAAAAATTCTACATTTTAAAAAATAAAATTGTAATCCTTTGTGTTAGCTTTCGTACTTTTGAATCACCTCAATTGAATATCGAGAGAGAAAGTTATGACCAAAACACTGAATACTGTCCGACGGAGAAAAAACTTAAAGATGCAGTCGTATAGTTCAAAATGCTTGCGGTCGCATTCAATATGCGGGGAAAATTCTGGAGTTCAACAAGTGATACATGCAGTAGCATCACAAATTTTGGTTGAATGTCAAGTTTCATTATACGATTAAAACTCAACTTGGCAAGATTTTGGGTGATATCTTTGACCTAGATACGAGCCCTACAAATTTCAGAATGTCCCATATACATGGAAAGCCTCTTTTATGCAACAAACAACTCAAGAACTTGAGAGAATCATATTGAAGAAGAGGGAAAAGTCAATTTTTTGAGAGATTTCGATCAAGGGAACTCACGAAGATTATCAACGAGACTTCATACCAGGAAATTTGCACAAGGATTGGAAGAAAAATTCAAGAAATATCAAGAATCCATCGTTTCTCTTCAATTGTCTGATTTTCGGGTGATGTTCATCAAACTTATAATGATTTATTGTAATTTCAATATGTTTGGCTAGATTTTTATATTGCTTGGATTAGATGAATCCTTGTTATAAGATTTTTTTATATTAATTAAGTGTTTTGACGTTTAGTATGTATGTTTCTTAGATGTTTATTGTTGTTTTCACCAACTTCTCAATTAATTAGCTATTAATTGAGCTGATTTATTGGAATCATTGTCATCAAAAGAGATAATAGGTTTTTAGCTAAAAATAATAAACATTGTAAGGTTCGATAGAGGATAAAGATATACCTTTATACTTTTCATGATTTTCATAGGTATTTTAGATTGTTTAATGTATTTATCATATTCGTATCTTTCATCGAGAGATAGGTAGGTCACATGAATGGAATAGATTGGATAGCTATCAAGAAAGATTTTCAATTAAATTAGAAACATTGACCAACAAGAATGACCACCAACTGTCATCTTAATTTGTTGTGCCGAAAATGGATTAGCAAGGAAGATTCTACATCTTAGCAATACATCTCACGAATTTGATAAACTTTTACTTTGGTTTCAAGTTAGTTGATAATTTAGACTTCGATTTGCTACAACTCTTTATTGGTATTCGATTAAGGGTATTAATAGCTTTAACTTGATCAAACATATAGTCATTATGGGTTCGACACTCTACACACTATTATATTACTTGTTCATGATCTCGTCCACTTGCGAGTTTTCAAAGGGTCAAGTTTTTTGCAACTTTGTCAGAGACTATAGTTTTTGATAAGTTTTAACTAATTTTACCTTCAATCTAAATTTTGTTTTATTTTTTTTCTTAGTTTAATTCATTAATTTAGAATTTTTTTACAGTATTTCTTGCTTCCTTTTTCAGGACATTGTATGTGAAGCTCAAGAATCAGAGATCTTGCTCAATTTAACCTAGAGATTGAATGAATATTCAACTTTCGAAGAAGACAATAGTTGAAAACATACCAAAACTAGAAAGAGGAAATCATGGCAGAGGAGAATCAAAATCAAATAGCCATCGGGGATAATTTGGGATAGCACAACTGCATAAAGTTGTAGCCAATGAAAGCGCTAGGTTGATGGGAAAGAATATGGTTTCACCGATTGTGGAGAGCCAATCTAGTATTTTATATCTGATATTTGGTCAACCAAGTTTTCACTTGAGGACGGATGTGATCAACATGTTCAAGATTGCACTATAATTGTTTGGGAAACCTACCGAAAATCCCAATGCTTATATATCAAAATTTTTGGATGTGTTTGAGGCAATAAAATGCCCAGGGATTTCAAGGAAAAAAAAATCCAACCGAGACTTTTTCCATACAATTTGAGAAATTAGGCAAGAGAATGGTTAGACAGTTGTCCGCCTCAGAGTATCACTACATGGAACCAATTAAGTCAGATATTCCTTAGTAAATATTTTCCACCGAGGAAGATTGAGAAGCTAAGGAATGAGACTACGACCTTCTAACAATTAGACTTAGAATGCTACTCAAAGGCATGGGAAAATTGCTCTTGTGATTCAGAATGGATCTCATTCTGACAGGGAACACATGAA